AACATCGTAACTTCATTCAAAGTGGACAGAAACAAAATAAAACTCACCAGAACCATCTCTGTTAGTCTTTCCAACAATCACTAACTCTGGTTTGGTGGAAATAAATCTTTAATTCACAGACATAGATGATCAAAACTAAGACAACGTTAATCCTTGGGATACGTCCACTAACAGTAGTAGTTGTTTGTTCCACTAACAGTAGTTGTCGTTTGTTCCACTAACAGTAGTTGTCGTTTTTTTCCACTAACAGTAGTTGTTGTTTGTTCCACTGACAGTAGTTGTTGTTTGTTCCACTGACAGACTCAGGTTGTTATTGTCAGTGTCTGACAGCATTATGGAAAGGATCCCTACAGAGATAGACCTTTAGTTTAACCACAAACAGCCGTAATATCACTATCACTCTCCACCAGACTCCAGAGACAGAAACACTCATTTTACCTTCAGATCATCAGAACTTCATTCAAAGCAAACAGAAACAGAATAAAACTCTGGTGATAAAATATAACAACAGTCACAGGTGACATTTTTATGCTCTCAGTACATTTTTCTGATTCAACTTTTTTACTTCAGTAAAGGAACTGGATACTTCCTTCCACCACAGTGTAGCAATACTTCAGAGCAGCTCCAATAGTAAAATGCTGCTTATTAACAATCCAGTAAAGAAGTCACAGAAGACATCTCTCAAGAATGAGTACTTTAACTTTTGATAATACAGTTTATATTAGAAGCTAATAATACTCCATAATAGTGTAATTGTGGTATTGGTACTCTTACTTGACTTCACTTGTTCACTTTGTTTGGACACATTGACAGGGTACCCACGCAGCCTGCACGTGGTATTTTATTTTGAAAACTGCCAGTGCGATCTGATGCTGTCCCAGTTGTAGCTCCTAAACTCTGGAACAGAATATAGTTTTATTGTTTGTTATTTCTGCTTTCTTAATTGATTTTATTTAGTTTTAAGTATAACTCTTATTAAATACTATTGTTATACCTGTAAAGTTGATAGTGTTGGATTTTATTTTATGGTTGTATTACATTTTTAAATCTACCTTATTTAATTTTTACTCCATTCTTATGGTGAACTGCACTAAACTGTATGAAAGGTGCTATATAAATAAAGTTTGATTGATTTGTAGCTGTGTTTTTAAAAGTGCTACAGAAATGTATTATCATAAAAATTGATCTTGAGTTTAGATTTTCTTTTGTCAGAACAGATTTTTAGATGTGAGAACAGTTTCTTGATGAGAAGACATTTTTGCAGGTTAAACAATAGAGGAAAATGTGAAAGGAGCCCTGTTAACCACCCTCACAGTCGCTCTCATTCAGTGCAGGACTGTGGAGTCGCAGCCGCTTTCAAGGCCGAAACACCAGAGAGCAAAAACTGAAAAGTGTGATTCCATCGAGAGATAAAAATCTGTCGCTGCTCTGCAGACAATGAGCTGTGAAACAGGGTGAAGCTGCGCGAGGGAGGCTGTTTGTAAGCATCAGAGGACATTTTCTGGTTCAGAATTGACATTTCCACAGTGAACAAACTCATCTACAGGTGGGAGCTCTGATTGTCCCTGAAATCAGTCTCTTATTTGTTTTCCACAGAGCGGACTGGAAAATTAGACTTCACAATCTCACAAATGTGACTTGTAGATTTGCAGGTTTTTCCTCGACAGCAGGACAAATATTCACACGTTCCTCGCAGCCGGCCTCCGTTCGCTTTCATCTCATCTGCTGAAGGGAAACAACATGCGGCGTGTAGTTTGGAAGTAAATCCACTGATTATTTGTGAAACAGGTACAGCGACGTGACATCGCCTCTCCGGCTTCATCCATATTCCAGTCAATGTGTTTGTTTGGCTTCTTCAGCATGACACATTTCCAGCAGAGCCTGTGTTGCCATGGTTTAGCCGAGCATCAAACCATGGAAACAGTTATCAGGGGGCCACAGCGGTCTGATTGATTTCAAAGGGAGCCAACAATATTAATTTCTGACAAAAGGACAGAATGACGCTGGCTCAGGGTTTGTTGTTTGTCTCTGAGAAGAGCTTTTTCTAAAGGGATGAGGATTAGATTTGAGGCCAGACTAAACAGTTTGAACATTAATAAAATTAAGACATCCGCCATTTAAAAAAAAGTTAACACAAGAGCTGAGTGCTTGTTGAACAGCAGGTAATGTAGCTGCACGAGCTCTGCCAAGGCTCCACAGTCCACAAAATGTGTTCAGATGTGTTCATTTGTCTGCGATCCCGGCCACATGGATCTTATCTGCGAGCCTCCTGCTAGCCAGCATACAGGTGTTGGATAATAAACTGGACGACCTCCACGCCCGCGTCAGTTTCCAACAGGATATCAGGAACTTTAATGATGTTTGTTTCACTGATCCTGGAATACCGGACAGCACCATTCAACAGTCCATCAGAGGATTTCTGGCATGAAACGTGTGCTTTTATGAGGTTATAAGCGTGTCTGACCAGTCTCACATGTTTGTCTCAGCTGTCATAACCCTCACACATGTTCTCCTCCCTCCCGTCAGCAGCCCTGTGGCCTCACAGTAGGAAGGGTCCTGGGTTCCAAACCTCGGTCCTTTCTTTGTGGAGTTGGCATGTTAGTAAAGTAACTCTTCTGTTCCTTCGTCTGTCACAGGAACCACAGGCGGATATTGAAGCCATAAGCTCATCGAGACGTGTCGACCCCCCGGGTTCCCAGCCATTACAGCCACATCACGACTCTAATCTGTTCATCCCATGCTATTGACCCTCTTTCATCCCTCTCCTCGACCCCTTATTATCCCTCCTTACACCATCCTCATCCTATCACCAGTCTGAATAAACTACTCCTCATCCTGCACGAATGGTGTTGTCAGTGGGAATATTAAAATGCTCTCTCGTTCCTGCTCCCCTGATCCCAGTTATTGTCAAACAGCAGTGTCTATGATGCAGCAATGTTGTTTATAATAGGGCTTATTGTAATTTTATTGTGACCATAGGAGCTAATTAATGTAATTTATCTGTCTCACAGCTCCAACGGTGTTTTATGGAGAAAGAATGATGTTCAGAATAACCTCTCAGCTTCAGCCTGGGTTCATTACAACCACAACACGACTTCTGTGTGGAACTACAGTGTGTAGAATATAAAGATCATTTCTAACAAACAGGCCTGAAAACAACATGGAGCTGATTATCACATCCATTTTCTAAACCACTGACAGGTCACAGGAGCGGGACCCTCTCCCAGCATGCACTGGGGGAGAGGACAGGTCACCAGTCTGTCACTGGGTAAATATACAATCTGATATACTGGATCCCACAGAGACTCATACTGAACCCAAACTGTTTTTCCAGATATACAAACATTTTGTACGAACAGGAAATGATGTCAGACATCAGTATTACAACTGTGCACAGATAAAAAGATCTTTCTGAAGCTGCTGTGAGAAGCGATGGCTGATGGGTTCAGGCTGTTTTATCCACAGTTGTGGGTGTTATGACACAATGACGTATAAATGTATTAGTCTGAATTATTACATGTGTTGTTACACCAAGAAAAAGGAAAGCCGCCTTGTATTTTACCACGAAAATCAAATAACAGCTAAATTATTGTCCGATAACAGAAAATGTATAATCTTTTTAGTAATATAAATCATCCTGATATTTACATTGCAGCTGATAAATTATTGGTTAATTATCATTCATTTGGAATCCTTATGCAAATTGACTGATAGGCTTTATATTCAATAAATCTATATTGTTTCTGAAAATAAAATTGAATGACCAGAAGACACACCGATCCCATCACACAGAGACGCATCACTACAGGCGGTGAAGAGCGTCGGGGAAAAACAGCTGCTGCAGCTGTGGAGTGAGACAGTGCGCACAATCTTGTGAATCTTTGTGGCCATCGCTGTAATAACATGTTGAATAATTCAATAATTATACAAGATATTTGTTATCTGACAAATACTTTATTTTACTGTTGTCACTAATTTTGCATAATTTTAGAAATGTATTAACAATATTAAACTTGAATTTAACAGTTTAATCTATTAAATAAACAGTAAATCAAATAAATTAGTATTTAACTGCCTTTATGTGAAGAAATTACATTTTCTCAAAGCAGTGATTTTATGATCATTTACAGTTTTTCACATTATTTTACATTAAACATATAAATTCACACTTTACTTTTGGAATTGTATTAATATTCATAGTATTTAAAATTTTACATTTTATTTGTGTACACAATGGTTCTACATTGCAAGGTTGATCATTTTCAACCTTAGCAAATGATATTAACACATTTTTTATTGCTCTTAGTACACCATATTCACGTTTCCATCAGAAGTCTGTGTAATACATTAACTACGACAGTTTAATGATGAAAACGTTTTCCTCACATGATGCATTTCCGGGTCAACCTCCTGTTTTAATGATGGCCCCGCCTACCTAAGTGATTATGGAGGGCTCAGTAAGGTGAGAGAACTAACCCCCCTGTAGTGATACTGTCCCAATCACCCTTCATTCACCCCTGTTCCGTTTCTAGCATTACGTCTCTGTGTGATCGACCCCTTACTGTGGTTCTCCAGTATGAACCTGCTTATAATTACTGTAGTATGTAATTAATAAACTTTAAAGTGCATATTTAAATTCTTCACACTGTAACACAATGCAGTCCTCATTATACTGTACATTAATATAAATCCCCCAGATTCAATGGTAAAATGTAAAAAGGAAGCATTTCATTAGACATTCACAACTGACATTTTCCTCATAGATGGATTTTTTTCCTCCCTGATGGTTAATTAAGTTGCAAACCGTTAGTGCCGTCACACAGCGTATCCATCAGGTCACATCTGTGAAATGTTTTATCATCACGAGAAACCCAAATACCACCGCAGATTCTGACAGCGATGAAAGAAATGTCAACGCTCTCTTTGTCATAAATCTTTACGGCACTCAGAATCACATCAGAACAGATTCATCAGAAATAAACGAGAACGTGGGCAAACTATTGTAACCTCATGATGCCATAGACCTTTTTATTGATATTTTCACAACAGCAGCAGTTCTTTTTTGTGCTCCCAGCGGGTTGGATTTCATCCTCCAGAGCAGAGAGCGGTTACAGTGCATCGCCTATGTGTGCAGAAGCATTGTACAGCAGAAGCTAACCCGGATGAAATGCAACTTCCATTGGATTGACAGAGCCACCAGATGAGTTTCACACTGAGCTGATCAATACTGTACACAAAGAGGCTATTCACCACAGAGCTGCAACAGAGCAGGACGGCTGCAGTGCTCAAACACCCAACATGGCTGCGGAGACGTGGCTCGGTTACAATGTGGGAGCCACGAAGAGGAGATCACGAGTCTCTGGCAACCATCTTTGATGTTGTGATACAGCAGACTGTATAATTCTGTTTTCTTCTTTTTTTTGACTCTCAGTGCAACAAGCTCCCTGCAGCCGATTTGTGGCGATTACTCATCAACAAATGCATGTTTTATTACTTATTAAAGGAATAGTTTCACAAATGAGCTCTTTAGCTTGGCTGCTAGGAGTTAGATGAACAGATTGATACCACTCTCATGTCTGTATGTTAAATATGAAGCTAGAGCCACCAGGCGGTTAGCTTAGCTTAGCATAAAGACTGGAAATAAAGTGAATGTAGATTAGTTGGCTAGTTAGCTAGGATTTTGCTAATACTAGCTAACATGAATTCATTTGTTAAATTTGACACAACTTTTTGTCTTTACGTTTCTGTTTGTGTACGGATTAAACCGTATGTGTTAGCTACCGAGCTTTAAAGGTGTTAGTGGGTGTATTTTTAACTTTTGGATGGAGCCAGGCTAGCGGTTTCCCCCCGTTTCTAGTCTTTATGCTAAGCTAGGCTAATTGTCTCCTGGCTCTATACTCAACAGTGAACTCCACTGATTTATATAGTGTTATTATCATTACTATTATCCAGTCCCTCTAGAAAAACACGATTATGTGATCCCAGAATTCAATGCATAATCAGCCAAAGTCTGCATATTTATGCGGGGGCATTTTTTTAAATACGCCGAACTTTCACCGCATAAATTGCAGATTTCCGCTCCAAACATGCGGGGCTTGCATGATTTCATAATCCTCGCTTTTCCGTTGCAAAAAAGTCAGACATATATCTTGTTGTTAAAGTTGAAAAATGTTGCGTTAACTCCACACAAGAGCAGCCATTTTCCCCTGTTGCCATGGGAACGTTATGAAGTGACGTAATTACGCAATGTGAACGTCAACGAAAAGCTGCAAACCCGCGATGAAGCCGCAATTTTTGCAAGTTCCCGTTTTCATCGCATAAAATTGCATAAATTGCCGCATATTCCATCGCGTTTTTTAAGAAAACGTGCCGCATAATCAAGGATTTTGGCCCGCAACAATCACAAACAAACTCCGCGTTTTTCTGGAGGGACTGATTATCATAGTGTTTCCAGGTGTTGTACTGCATGTTTTAGACTTTAGTGTCTCCAGAGGGCGCTGTGTGAAGTCTGATAAATCTCCTCAAGTGATGTCACTTGAGTCCGCGTCGGCTGAAGACTAAAATCTGTTGGTGTTGAGTTAGAAAGAGGCGATCTTACCTCTGCAGCTGCTCCTCCTCTCTGCTGAGGACTAGAGGCTCCAGGCTACATTAGCCACTACTAGCATAACACACCCCAATCTCTGACTGAACTGGCAGCGCTCGAGTTGCATTGTGGGTAATGTAGGTTTTGACTAGAAGAATGTGTGGGGAAAAAAAGTTCTGCTCCATCGATTTTGATTGTTTACGTCCATCGTGAGTCCGACAGAGACATGAGAGTGGTGTCAACTGTTCTTAAAAATGAACAAGACAGGGTTCCAACACATTTCAGATCACATTCAGAGATTTCCTAAATGATTGCACAACATGAACAGAGCTGTAGCTGTCCCCAACGCAACCCCATACCCACCCCAAAACAGTCTCTATATTTAATATGTATTTAAATTCCCCTTGAAATCAATGAAACAAGGCGGTAGAAGCACTTTTGTCCACAGGGGCTGCCAGACTTAACACAAACTTTAAGTTCCTAGCACATTGGAGATCTCAGTACAGGAAAGGAGAAAGTTGACCGAGGCTTTCTTAACTTAATTTTGAATATTACGTTTAGTGTAAATGTGCACAAATTGTTACTTTGCTGTGTAAAAACAACAAGATTTTTATCATTAAAGTGCCCTAAATGCTGCCTTAGTACCTTGTAAGTCTGCTCCAACATTAAGAGGAGCAGATTAAGTCGTAATTCACTTCATTTGTTAATTATGAAACAGTCTTCATGTAATACTGATGCCTCTATGTGACTTATCCAATCTTTTCTCACATTGTCTCGTTTATATATTTCTATACAGTTATTTTTAATGCCTTAATCAGATTGCCAATAGAAACACTACCGTTTGTGTCCACAGGGGCCGCCAGAATCAACACCAAATTAAATTCCTTGTAGCTGCTTTAAATTATATAACTATGATCATATCTTCTTACACAGTGGCCTAAATACCTGCTCCAAAATGCCAAGACTTTAATACAACTGAAAATCCTGAATTCATTTTTTTGGGTAAAAACATTTAAATTATATAATTTTAACTCTTAATAATATCAGAATGGGCCTTTAAAAACTCACCATGTGTAATTTAAATTCCCCGTCAGGTTGTTATAATATCCTGAGTGGTAGCTACAGCCCCGAACACGTGCAGCATGAGTTCCATCACCCGCACCTTGTTGTTGTTGTTGTTACAGTTTTTTGCATCTTTTTCTGACAACCTGCAAGCAAACAGACTTCTGTTTGAATTTTTCCCCCAAAAAATGTTCTTTTAAGGGATCAGCAGCAGCTAAAGCTTGACATTTAACATGTGACGCTTTGGTGGGAGGAAAAGGGTGATTTTGATCAGAATGACATTTTCCAGCATTAAAAAAAAAAAAAAAGAATCTTCCATAACTTTCTCCTCCGGATGTGGAAGACACCAAATGCCAAATTCCAAGATGCGACTGCGGGAACCCTCCTGTCCGTCGTCAACCCTGTTCGACTAGATTTGTGTTTGTTTAGCCTGACATGAAATGGAACATCAAAGCTAATATTAACAATTAAGAATGCATCTTTAACGAGAGGTCTGGTAGATAGAATCGGTCCCTCAGAGTCGGAGCTATTTTACAGTGTGACACCCATTCCACTGAGCACAATCCAGACTCTTCAGGTAAATGAAGGTAAGAATCACACTGATGCATACGGATTTACACTCATTTTGGAGCCTTGTTTAAAGTGAACATCAGTCACAGCAAGAAAAGAAAAGAAAATACGTTAGAGCCCGACCGAGAGAGTAGAAAGAATTATTAGCGATATCGCAGCAGAATCTTTGAGCTAGAATGAAAACAGACTGATTTTGTACTGATTTGAATTTGCAAAGTTACTCTTAAATTTTCTTTAATAAAGCTATTTTTTAAAAGAATATTTGAGTTAAATATTCTTAAACACAGTAAATAATTTAACCAGTTCTAGTGGCTAAAAGCTGCTTCTGATCTCTTATTCTCTGCTGTTTGCCTCAGTGTTTTAAATCACAGCGCCTTCTGCTGGACAAACGTTACACTGACACCAATAAATTACCACAAGCATTTGTCTCTGCACTATGTACCAGAAAAAAAGATTTTATATTGCGCAACAGGCCAATATCAGCCGATAATATCGGTCGGGCTCTAACATACATACACTGGCCACGAGAAAACAACAGATTGTGTCTTTTTCTCAAACATAAATCATGCTTTTTATCTCCATCCGGGCCAGGCACGTCTGAGGAACAAAACTAAACTGTAGTAGGCACCAGTATTTCCCCTTATTGAGTCAGGAAAATGAAACACAAATCTTATTTTTTGCCCTTGGGGCTCGTGGTAGCTTAGTCCTAAGCTGTTTGTGCTTACAAGCCAACTGACGTTGACTGTCAAACTCATATGGCAAAGTGAGTCTGCAGGCTGCAGTCCAGTGCAGCGCGTACAGGCGGGAAAGGCCCCCCGCTCTCTGGGGCTATGGACTTTCTCCAAGTCACTATAATAACACCAGTCACAGAGCTTCACCTCCTCTGCACCAACTGCAGCTGCCTATATGTTTGCATTACATCAGATCACACAATGCAGGCGGGATGGCAGCTCAATACATTTCCTCATTCCTCATTCTGCAACCACATTATCATAAACAATGTGTGGGCGCCCTCAGGGGAAACCTGGGGAGTGACATATTTGTTGGTGGGTTTCTGGCATTATACAGATGATTAGAGATGGGGTCTGAACGGGGTAATTATGGCTGGTTATCATCGTTCATGCCCTGCAGCATTTAAACCGTATTAGTTTGTGGAAAGCCTGTTTGAAGTCCTCGTTAGACATGGTGTAAATGATGGGGTTGATTAAAGAGTTGAGGTAACCCAGCCAGGTGAAGATGTCAAATAGCTCCGGGTGGAAGCAGGACTCGCACACAGGCACTAGAAGAGTGTAAATGAAAAACGGGAGCCAGCATATGATGTAGGCTCCCAGGATTATTCCCAAAGTTTTGGTGGCCTTCCTCTCGCGGGCGGCGGAGATCCGCTTCTTCTCCAGCAGCGCGTCGGACACAGTGACTTTAACTTGGCTCACGTTCGCGGACGAGGTAGTGTCACAGGAGGAGGTGTCGTTCGTCCCGTAGTTCAGGGAGGTTGTGGACGCCACCGAGCCGGGGGAGTTGGTGATCAGGTGCGCCGAGGTGAGCCTCTTCCCCGGCTTATTGTGCGACTGCTTCAGGATGCGCTTCCGTGCCTCCACATAAATCCTCCCGTACAGCGCGATGAGCAGCAGCGTGGGGATGTAGAACGCGCCGAAGGTGGAGTAAATGGTGTAGAAAATGTGGTCGGTGTTCACGTTGCAGCTCGTCACCTCCTCCGCCTTCACCTGGCGCCAGAAGAAAGGCGGCAGGGAGATGGAGATGGCGATCACCCAGGCGGTGGCGATCATGCCGGCTGCGCGCGCTGGCGTGCGCTTCTTGGAGTACTCCACCGCGTCCGTGATGGCCCAGTAGCGGTCCAGCGCAATTACGCACAGGTGGAGGATGGACGCGGTGCAGCACGTTATATCCGAGGACAGCCAGATGTCGCACACCACCTGCCCCAGCGTCCACGTCTGGCTGACCGTGTAGAGCGCGCTGATGGGCATCACCAGGATGGACACCAGGAGGTCGGTGACGGCCAGGGAGGCGATCAGGAAGTTTGCCGGCGTGTGTAATTTTCGGGATTGATAAATGGTGGCGATGACGAACGCGTTTGAAAGCGTCGTGGCTAAAGTTATGAGGGTTAAGGTCACCGCGACACCCGCCTGGAAAGCCACGTTACCGTCCTTCTCCTCCGCCTTCGACGTGAAATTGTCGCGGGTGTAGTTGGAGGAGATGTTCAACAGCTCTCCGTAGATGACAGGCGTTGGTTTGAGCTGACTGGCATTCTCCATCCCTCCACCTTCCCGCCTCAGATCCCCCTGTCATTGAGCTGAAAGGAGATCACTCTGAAACCACTCCAATATTCATCCGCCGCGCGCGTCTCTCGTCTTCTGTACAGCCAGAATAACAGCGGCTCCATCTCCAGCGGCTCCATCCAACAGTCAGACCACAGGTGCTGCATTAAAAACACATTTCTGCCTTCTTCTCTTCATCGTTTTCACCTCACCAGCAGCATTTTCTACTATTTGGTCAACTTAAAAATCCAGAAAATAAGGCACAGAGCGGCCTCTCCATCATCCACACTTATTATTCTGTTATTAATCTTCCCAGTCAGATCCAGAGTTTAAATACAAATACTTTGTTCTCTATCTGCTGCTTTCTGTTCTTTGATCCGCTCAGAGTCTCCTCACAAGTTCAGAGCTGCTGAATGTGACTCCTGGTTTTATACTGGCAGCCTTACCTCCCTCTCTCTCTCTCTCTCTCTCTCTCTCGTTCTCTCTCTCCCCCCCCCCCCCCCCCCCCCCCCCCCCCCCCTCTGTCTCTCTAAAATGGTTAAAGGACCCCACTTTTTTCTATTTCTTTAATTAATTTTTTTTCAACAATGTTTCTGTTAGAATCTGATTTCTAGCAATATTGATATTTTTCAGACATATGTTGCTTTGTTTAAATTACATATATTGACACAGAAATGTGGTAATTGTGACATTTTAGAGCAGGTTAGGCAGCCTAACCTAGTGCTTCCCAACCTTTTACTGTCAACACCCATGACATATGTATAACACATGAAAGCTGCCAAATTCACACAGGAAGACCATCGCTTTGCCCGCAGAACAACTAATTTGTTTTTAGATTTACTGAAATAACAATTCAGTCAACATGTCTGCTTTGTGCCGAAAAGCAAAATACACAGGTCTCATATTACTGTTTGATCCTCCGTGGGAGAAATTCAAATTGACACAGCAGCACAGGGGAAATCAGTGCAAAAGCACAGAACTGTAAAAAATACAATAAAGAATAATGAAATAAATTATAAAGATATAACAGAAAATATAAAGACTATACTGAAAATATTTGCATTGTATGCAGAATGCAATGTAGAAAATATGCTGTGCAAAAATATTTTAAACAGTGTATAACCTAACTGTACATGTGCAGTTATTACAAGGTAAAGTTTGTCCAGTTTATTGTTAAGTTGCATCCCCAGGGATTTATATGTGTCCACCATCTCTACTCTCTCCTCCTTATCACAACTGTGGAGGGGAAACTGGGCCTGTTTACATGTATTAAACCATTATTATGAGTGTTGTGAGTATGTGAGGCGGGATTGGATAGGCGTGAGGAGACAGCGCTGTTTCGGGGAACATATGGGAAAAATAATAATATAAGATATTCCTTTATTTATCCCCCTAAGGAGAATTTCAGGCTGACACAGCAGCAATAGGGCAAAGTAATATCACAATAAAAATAATACTAATATTATCAATATTAGAAGATATAAAACTATAAATGAAAGTATATACACTGCATTGTTCAAGTAGGACATGGAGTGCAAAATATAAGCAGAAAATTAAACTTGACTAAAACTGAAAAACTAAAACTACTAAAGTGCTTGTGCGTTATAAACGTGTATTTCAGCAGTAGTTGAAGTAAAGTTTGCTGCTGTCTTCCCTGTCCTCAGTTACCAGGTGTTAAGACTTCAGACTTTGTTTACTTGCTCAGATTTGGCCATTTCCCCGGTGTATGTTCTTGTAAACATGCTTCGACATGTGTAAATATGCTAGGTAGTTAATTAGTTTCGGTTTTGTCTGTTTTTACGACAGGCAGTTTGCACGGGGTATTTTATTTTGAAAGTCCACCGGGTCCTCTTAGCCTTTTCTGTGCCTGGCTTCCGCCCGCTCGAGGTGCTCTGTGTCAATTGACGCGTGCTGCTCGCGCATTACACTCGTACATAAATCAAACTTAACAGTGGAATGAAAATTTCCTTTTCTTTAATATTAATTAATTCCTAGTTTTCTTTTCTTTTTTTTCATGACTGGCGGTGGTTACTTCAGGCCAGGACTCATTCGGACTACCAAAGGTAAGTTGCACTCCTAGACTAGAATAAAGTGCTACAGACCAGGCTGAAATGTGGCTGTGTGTCCTTACAGGATGGTGTGTTTAAATGTGAAATGCAGGTGATTGTTTACAGGCCTTTTTCAACTTGAGCTGTAACAACTTTTAATGTACAGTACTAATAGTTTTGCAAAAAATTTATTGTAATTTACTAACACAACAACAGTTAAAAATATACACAAACAAATTGATAAACACATCATACACACACACACACACACTGGTATAATCAGCACAACTCAGTCTTTGAAGAATGGAGGACAAATGTCTATAAATCAAAATCAGAAATTATAGAAATAAGTATTACACTATTTAACAGGGAAAATACAGCCATCAGATTTCTTGTAGACCCAGCACACTTCCAGTATGAGTCTGAATACATATATTTAAGTACATAGATGCAGATGAACACTGTAAACATGACGAAAGACACAATCTGATTGTATATGATTGCACAAACTAACTCTAACATATCTTTAACCCTCAGGACTTCTGTACTGCAGAGCTTCCTTCCTTCCTGTCAACCTCTCCAGAGGGGTGTCTGCTGATAGCAGAAGGATTACATGACCTCTGGTTGGGACCCTGGTCAGTTCCACAACCTTTGGCTTGTTGTCCAATGTGACGGCTCCCCCCACCTGGCCTACTGTATTCTCAGCTCTCTGACTTCTTGTACCTCAAGAGGGACAGTCCTGTGTGGAGGCATGCCAGGCAGCGTATGTTCACTTCATCAACAACAAAGGTATGCAAGCCCTAAATAGTAATGTCTCATTTTAACTTCATCTTAATTCAGTTTAACACAGAACAGGGACCAGCTTTTTATATATATATATATATATATATATATATATATATATATAAATTAAATAAATAAATAATGCTTTCAATTTGGGTTTTGCTTTAAGACAGACTTGTGAACTTATCTCTTAAAATCTAATTAGAGAGGGCTGGTTACATTTGATGAATGAATTTTGTGTTTAAATGATTTGCTTTGTGTTGGGCGATATGGAAAAAAAAATCACATCACAATCTTAATCATGATATCCAAAAGCTGAGATGACATCTAGTCTGATATCACCATATTGATGATATATTGTAATATTGTCCAACCCTACTCTGCGTTTTTCCCAAATTATTTATATACTCCCAGTAAAGCGCATCTCTTTGTTTCTCCAGTGTTGTGCCTCATGTGGAGATGCAAGGACTGTGGGACGGCATTAACAAAAAGATCTGAACTGCTCAAGCACTACAAACTGATTCATAGGCATTACGGACGGGGCCACTCATATCCATGCACTTACTTAAATTGTGCATGTAGGTTCAAGACTTGGAATACCCTACTGAGCCATCTATCAAGAAATCACCCTGCCCAACAAGCAGTCACCAAAGCTGTGTCCATAATCAACTCTCCACAGAAAGGGAATATTTTCAACATATCTATCAGCATCTTAAAAATAAGGAGACTGTAACATGTGTGTTCCAAAACTGAATATAAAACCAATGTCTATGAGAACTTCAAAAGTCATAAATACAGAAAACACTCTGGTACAGTGAACACCTTTAGGCCTGGGATAAGTTCTGTTGAAGAATCTTGTGCCAGTGTTGCCAGTGATATTTAAGATAGGGAAATTATAGAGTAATGTAAATTTAAATTCTGCTTTTGACAATGGGGATTATGAAAACTTGGAGAAGGATATTGAACTTAAAATTGCTTCAGTGCTCCTTAAGTTGGAACACTTCTTGTGTCTAATGCAGCTGTAGATGAGCTTTTACAGGAGTTAAACTATTTGATTGGTTCTCTTTCTCTGCCAATTACCCAAAAGACTATTAGCCAAGTATTACAAGACAATGGATGCCAATTTGACCAGTCAGTTGTTGAAAAGCTAGCCAGTGTACTCTGTGAGACAAAACCTGTAAAAAAAGCAATTGGAGATAAAGGTCCACTTTCCAGTGCTTGGAGGCGAAAAGCTTACTATAAGAGCCACTTTAATGTAGTGGAACCAGTGGAATATATACTTGACTGAAAGAATCATAAGTCATTCCAATATATTTCAATTTTAAAGTCTTAAAAGCAGCATATTCTTGACTGCCAGACAATCTTGGATCAGGCTGTTAATTTGAATACTGTAGATAATCAGCCTCAGTTTTGTATAAGTGCATGGAAGTTCTCTAACTTTGATGGTGCCTTCTTCAATGAAAATGGACTGTTGTCTAAGCAGGAAAGCATTGTATTGATATTATACATTGATGAATTTGAAATATGTATTCCCCTTGGTACATCCAGGAGGAAGCATAAATTTTGTGGTTTGTACTGGATTCTGGCTAATTTGCCACCAGGCTTCTGCTTTATCCTCCATCCATTTGGCTTTAAAAAGTAAAAGTAATGATCTGAAGTGCCATGGGTATGAGAAAGTGTTAAAACCTGTAATTAATGAACTAACTGTACTTGGAACAGAGTGGGATATTCCTTTCAAAGTTGGGCAGAACAGTAAAAGGCGCAGTTCAGTGTGTGGTCGCTGACAACCTTGGTGCACACAGTATTGCTGGATTTGTTGAAAATTTCTCAGGGACATACAGTACGTATGTAGATTTTGCACAGCAGAAAGATCAGAGTTCCAGACTAAAGAAGTCAGAAGTGAAGTCTTTACTTTGAGAACAAAAGACATTCATGCAGATCATTTACGAATCCTTGAGGAAAACAAATTGCCCAGTTATTATGGTGTGAAATCAAAGTGTATTTTGTCAAAGCACCTCTCATATTTTGATGTTACCACTGGGTTTCCACCAGACATTGTACATGATCTTTTTGAAGGAATTGTTCCTTTTGAACTTGCACTTTGCCTCAGTTTGTTAAGTTATGTTATGTACATTGAATGAAGCCATATCATCTTTCAACTTTAAGTGGGCTGACAGAACAAATCAACCTCATCCTGTGGCTCTCAGTTTTGCATCCAAAAAAACTGTTGGGGGAAATCCACATGAGAACTGAAGTCTAATCAGATTTTTGCCTTTGTTCATTGGGCAGAGTGTTCCCTGTGAGGAGCCTGCTTGGCAGATCTTAACAGACCTGAAGGACATTGTTGATCTCGTTGTCTGTCCTGTTCATACCGAGGACTCCATTGCATATCTAAAATCTCTGAGCACAGAATTAGGTTTCAATAGGTTTTCCCAGACTGTGAGCTTAAACCAAAGCACCATTTCCTGGAACATTATCCATACTTGATCCGTAAGTTTGGGCCACTAGTTGCCCTATGGACTATGGACGTTTTGAAGCAAAGCATAAAGA